TGACGAGTTTTATGTTGAATTCGCTGAGAAATAATGGCGAATGCGTACGTTAATCGATGCGCGAGAGGAATGGAATGAGAGACTTGGCGATATTTTATGTGTTGTGCTTTGAAGAAAAATTTGAATGTTTTAGGATATACTTTGTGTGTGAAGTGGTTGGAAGCATCTACCATCTCACTTGACTTTGTGTTGCTCATAAGCGAAATCATCTAGTAGATTTACTTATGATCAGGGTGGGCTGATGTGGTGAGAATGGGTTTCAGTCTAGTTCGTGGGGCGTTATTGGTTATTATCTGAAACGGTCGACACAATTCTGAGTGTCTAGACGACTGGACCGACCAACCAAGCAGCGTAGACCTAGGGCTGATGTAGCCAGCTGGATGCATCGGACCTAGGGCCCAGGCAATAACCAGCGTAGACCCAGGATTATGAGAGTTAGCCAGTAGCATGTGTTTGTGCATTTCATTGGATTAAGGCAACCAATCAGATGGTTGTGTAGTAGGAGAATCGCAGACCACGGACTGACGTGTGACTGTTTGTAACGCTTGGTTGCAGTTGGATCCGTCCGGAAGCTTGGCTCCGTTAAGCCTCGCACATGAATCACTCATAAAGCTTTGCCCTCAGTCTCGCCGTACAGAGCTGATTGCAAGATTGCCGAGAGTCAATAATAAGACACCCAAAAACAACCGTACCGAACACAAGACGCTTGAACACAAGCGCATGCACTTCTGACAAGACTGAGCCTGTTAGCAAGGAAGAGGCAGAACCAGTACCCCAGAGTACCAGTTCGCTCCACATGCGGAAACTTGCGGAAACGCGAACGCGGGAGTAACCAGCAACCCGTCGTATGCACAAATTGGTTTGCGACGTACGCCCTTGGCGTACGAGACCACTTCCTTCCCATGGCAACCCGAATACCCCTGTCCGTTGTTGGAGGCACGACAACTTTACTTGACAAACAGCTCACTGAGCTGTGTTTGTCGTGATTGAAGTCCGAGCGCATCAACGTGAAACCTCGAGGATACGATTGCACCCCTGTTGCCAACGGGGGGGGCACGCGGAATGTACAAAGCGACTTACACTCCCCCTGGCTCCGCCGGTGGTTTTAGCACATTCCGCAGTTTTCTATGGGTAAATTCGCTCATCATTATACAATGTTGTATCAGAGTGCAGGCCGCCGTTGTCTTGGAATCACAGCAGTAGCACGCTTGTCTCCTTGTAGTCATTTGGGAACACGAAGATTTCGATTTTCGAGCCTCCGCTGTCACCCACGATACGGCGGTACATGTGTACGTAGATATCGTAGTACGCAGTACAGCAGTAGTACCTTTGTCCATCCTTCCCAAAATCTTTCCTCTTGCGCGTTCGAGTGCTGCACTTCACCGCTTCACTACCGGCACCGCTAAACGCAACAGATACATAACACGACCGCAGCCATCCGACGGTACAGCAGCAAGTGGTCTTCGCAAATGTAGCATATAAGCACTCAACCAACAACCATGCGGGGCACAGGAGAGATTTCGACATGCTTGAGATTTGAGATTTTGCCCTTACGGGTTGAGGCGACAGCGCATTAGAACCGGGGAGTTGGGTTACTGCACAGCTCTCGTCTTTGCCCAACGATGGCTATAGCGCAGAGAGGGGCTGTTCCAGAGAATCACACACCGCCGCTTGTGGTATAGCGACCGGCGGAGAGATGCAGCAGCAGCGGGCATGTTTGTTTGCGAGAAGAAGCTGCGGCAGAAGCACTCAACCTTCGTTGAACCTTCGCCCGAAGAAAGCAGCAGGGACACCAATGCACTGCTGCTTCAACGCCGCAACAAACAGAGCCAGGTGTGATTTGACCAGGTATTGAATGGTTCCTTTAGCGGAATGGAGGGGTATGCAAGACGCACTGCCTGTTGTGCCTATATCTACAGCTGCATCCATCCCTGGGGGTACAGCATGATATCGGCAATGCTGTAATGCCTGTAAGAAGGAACACTGGAACATACCAAACGCACCTGATCGAATATGGCCATGGCATCTGCCTGGTCCAAGCCGGGATCGGTCCCGGGCATGGCTCTCCAATCCTGTGCGCCTCGCTCTTCTTGTGTTCGGGCAGGTGGACGGCTCAATGATGGGCACAGGACTCTCACCAGCTCACCAGCGCGAGAGATCAGGGTCCCTTCAGATGTAGGGAAAGGTACACTAATTTGCTTCCCATATTTTCTGTGTCGCCATGCCGCCGCGCGTGTTGGACAGCATACCACTTTCTCTTAGCTGCTGCGCTGCTCCGCGAGCCTTGCTGTGCGCGCTTTCGCAGACGGAGACAGGGGCCTGTCTTCGTTCGCCATGAAGAGAACAAACTCGGAGAGAGTTAGTCTGGAGTTGGAGGGGCCAGGCGAGGACGCCGATCGACTCCGAGCTTTGCGATCGCTGCGGCGTAAGCGCAACAAGCCTGAGGACTGGATGTCTGGTACCTTTCACCAGTATGATATCTCCGATGTCGTCGGCGCTGGCACGTTTGGTCAGGTGTGTGGTGTATGGCGTGCTGGTGTGCTTGATTGGACTTCTTTTCTGTTTCTCAGCGTTGATTCGGAAGTCAAGTTGATGGTGTAGACTAGACGACACCACCGCCGGAGCAGAGGGCCAGAGCAAGGAGAGAGCGGGTCAACCAGGCTGTTATCTTCCAAGTTATCCAATGATCTACGCATATAAATACACCTACGATGGTAACATGGTAAATCATATCCATTCAGTAGTGCAGTTCCTTGACCAGGTCGATATTGACAACGATGCCTTTACATACGCCATTCTGGATGTTTCACTCTTGATGTTTTTGCCATTCTTCGGGAGCCGATTGTTTCTACAGTTCGTCGTCGATCGGGCGTCCCTATGCATGCGAACGGGCAGCTTTACCATTTTCGGAGGGACAAGGTCGCGAAGTCAGTGTACGGGGCTTTGGCTCGCATGCACGCCGGTACCCCCAATTTGCGCACGTTCGATGTGTGCAAGGCGGTGATGGTGTGTGATCGTACCCGAGACGCTTCCAGAGTCAAACAAACCTTAACCTTCGCACAACCTGCCCACCTGTGAGGGAAACTGGTTCTACCCTCGTGTTTTCCAACAGGTTCTACGCTTGTAAGCTCGTGCACTTGCGTCCAAGCATCTGTTGTGTTGCTTGTGGTTGTCGTGTCTTGTTGACTCTCGGCAATCCTGCGATCAGCTCTAGACGTTAGGAACTGAGGGCAGAGCTCTATGAGTGATCATGTGTGCGAGACGTAACGAAGCCAAGCTTCGGGACGTTTCTACCTCAAATGTCGTTACAAACATAGTCTACTTGGTACACGTCATTCCGTAATCCATGATACTGTCAACACAACCATTAACTTGGTTGGTTGCACGTCACGTTGACCCGATGCCTACCCTTGTCTCGGCATCCTGTCACCCTGTCGCCTACATCAGTCTGGTGTATCAGCCAATACCCTACTTGGTCGGTCGGTCAAGTCGTCTAGACACGCCGAAAATAACATTGTCTGACCGTTATCCAAAGTTCAGCACTAACGCCTCGAGAACTACAGTAGACTGCAACCCATTCTCTCCACAAACCGCAGCAGGCTACCTTATAGGCTTAGCAAGCTTGGTCGGCTTGGTAGGCATGCAGGTTTTTAATTCCACGGGGAACGAATCCGAACTCGAGAATATCCCCGCGTTTTACATCCTTCGATCGCACAGAGCGGGACACACAGAGTAATGAGAGGAGGGGTGAATGGTGCTGCACTCGAGAATATCCGCGCGTTTACATCCTTCGATCGCACAGAGCGGGACACACAGAGTAATGAGAGGATGTACCCGTTTCCCGTCGACCTTGAACGCGAGGCATACCTCTGAAGTGGGTGGTCAGTTGTCATTAGACAACAAGTCGGCAGGACGGAAGGGATCGCCATTTTACTGGGCGCGAGGACCCCTTTTGCAGATTCACTGGCGTCCCCAACAGTGCCACGCACGAAAAAAGCAGCATTAGACCCTATTTGACCGGGGAGCACGCGAATGAGAGAGCACGAGCAAACCCAACCCATCATGGGAGGCCCCCAGATCAGAGTGTCTTGGAAAGAACGCACAACCAGTAGATTCTCCAACCACCCAGCGTAAACGCGTGTTATGCCAGTTGAAATGGTAAGGCTACGTGGCTTCTAGGATCCACCACCAGTTTTCTGTGGTAGCAGGCCTGTTCAGGTAGTCCCACCCATCCAGTGCACAAGGGGTTGTGAACCGATTGAATGCCAACAAGCATGTGTCTTTTGTTGCTTGGAACATGCTCACACCGAAACACAGGAACGTAAAAACTCCTCAGATCTTCTGGGGTACGTCATAGCTTAACTCTTGTGCTTGTTGTAGGAGAAACTTAGGCTGGGTAGGCTGCATGCAGCGCTTGTCTGCAGGACATGATGCGCGTGCGCGTCCTCCCCCAGAGAACGCCTTGCTGCACAATTCCCCTTTATCGAGAGATTGTGCTTCTGCTTTCTCCCGTTTTCGAGATGATGTCCGCGCGTCTCGTGTACTTGTACAGCCGATTCCGTTGGTGCTGCACAAGTAACGGCCTACATGAAACAGCCAGCTCCATTTAGTTGTCTTCAGTGATTTCCTGCGGACTACTAGTTGAGAACACAGGCAGAGGAGCTCCGCATTCGACGATGTTTGTGTGCTCAACTGAGCAAGCGTCTGTCAATGCTAGGTACCGATAGGCAAGCATGTTAATCCTTTGATGGTATTTGTGTCTGCAGAGCACGAGTACCGCTTGCAGTAAACACCACCTCCGCCATTGCCTCTTCGACGAGACGGGTGAGTGTCATGTATCCGAATATCCTTCAGTTGACCTGGCGTTCCACCCGCTCCGCACTTGTTTTATCTACAACCAACGACAAAGGTTTACAAGGCCACCCGGACGCGAGATGGCAAACTGGTGGCCCTCAAGTGCATCAAGCAGGAGGACGGCGATGGGAAAGGGTTCCCGGTCACGGCCATGAGAGAGATGAGGATATTACGCCAGCTCAAACACGAGGTAAGGAAGCGTCAACATCACTGTAGGTTCATAATAGTACTTCATCATCGGGTTACTGATGTGGTGTACCTTTGTTTGCCAGTGTAAGGTTTCGGCGGCGGCAAGGCAATGACGAACCAAACGTTCGTGTGTCCAAGATTGAAGTTCATACAGGTGGAGGCGATCATGTGCGTCAAGGCTCGTGCATGTTTTGAGAGAAACATACATGGCGAGCTGGTAAACGCTCTTGAAAGTAGACCACGAGGATCGTGCGGGTTTGTCAACAAGCACCCGTAGCGCCGATTGTGACTTATGCAGCAGATAAGTCGCGGAAACCTTGGGTAGAAGTACGAGTCATCGCACACGCCGTAGACCGACTTTCGTGCGTGGCTCGGTTGCTCCAGAAACAGGAGGGTGCCAGTGCCGAAAAGGGTGGGCTTGGATATGTCTCGTCGAGGGCTTGCTTTCCTTGTACGTGTATGCACATTTCACACGCTGTTTGTTGCGGAGCAAATCGAAGCTTTGAAAGTCAGTCCAGGGTGCGTGCAATACCTCACTCGCACTCTTACGGCATGACCACGAAACCTCACGATAAGACGTGATGTCAGATGTGACGGTGATGGAAGAGTGTCTCGGTGGGACTGGGCGCATGTGGAAACGAATATATGTACCCTAGTTCGCTTTTTGTCACACAGCTCCAGCACCTGTGGGAGAAGTTCTCTGTGGGTGGTGACGAACTAACAGCGGCGGCAACACACACAGAGCACTGCGACGGTGCACATACTTGAGGTCAATGTTCCCGATGCTGGGTGTCGGATCATACTGCTGTGCGATCAACCTTCTAGAAGGAAGAAGTTGCAGCGATTTGAGCGAACCCTCACCGTTGTCTGCTTGCAAGTGTTGTTGCTAAGGTGTACGCCCGCTGAAAAAACGACCTTATCGTGAAGCATAGCAGAATGCAGCGGTCCGTGCATCCTTATGCTTCGGGGTTTGCGACGTCGTCTATTTAGGTTGCAACGCTTTGAGGCGAAGCAAGCACACGATTTGATCACGGTTTGTCCCAGACGTGTGTGTACCCGATTCCAGTTGACCGGGTCTGACGATACCGCGTGTTCCTTGCGGTACTAAGTGGGAAGATCCCGAGCGACCACACCGCCACCACCCCTGTGCACCCCGCGCTCGACAAGCAGAACATCGTTGACCTAATAGAGGTAATCATCGACGGCAACCCCACCCCGGGACGCCTCTCGACGGTGGCGTTGGTCTTCGAGTACCTGGACCACGACTTGAGCGGGCTACTGGACACCCCGGAGGCGGCCAATCAGATCACGCAGCCCATCGCCAAGTCGTTCATGATGCAGCTCGCGGCAGGGGTGAGGCTGGGAGGGCGGACTCTCTTATGTTTTGCATGCCTTAGCGATAAGACCATTGACCACGTCCTCGAGAAGACGGAGCATTGGACCGATCACCAATGGCCAATCGTTCCATCCCATTTGGCCAACCGTATATAGCTCAACACTTCTGTCCCTAGCCTGTCTATCCCACCGGTAACACTTCCCGCCCTTTCAACACTTCCCATGGTGAGACCGGGGGTTAATTGACAGGGCGAATTCTAAAGTTGCTGGAGGGAATTGAGCGGGGGGAAAAGTATGCTGCTGACTTTTTCAGGATTTTTTTAGGAAGCAGGTTGCATTGCTGCATTGCGCCCATGAGCGGTAAAAGGCTGTCATCGCGCGAATACACTCGGTGAAGGGACGGGGACTCGGAAATACGAAAGCTTAAGCTTGGTGTGGACCGCGCTAAAACCTGGTGTTACGACTGTGTTTGGATTGAGGCCTCGCGTGTTGGTCGACCCTTGGGTCCTCCAAGGCTGCCCGCCAGCATTATTTGTTGACCAACATGTTCAATGGTACAATGCATCTACACCGACGGTGCGTGCCAAGCCATTGATTCCCACGAGACAACCCGTCCTGTAACGCTGGGCATTTTTCGCGCGTGCGTACAGGTCGCGTACATGCACGACAAGGACATCATTCACCGCGACCTCAAGGGCGCAAACCTGCTCATCTCAAACACAGGGTGAGTCAAGCGAGAAGCTAACCTATCGC